TAGGGGTATAGAAGATGGAGAGGGGAACTTGAGCTTGAGGTTGAGAATTGGCTGGATAGCCTGGGCTATAGCCACCCTCATCTTTACAGACACCCCAAAGCTCGAAACCACTTCAAAAGACCCACGGATGTACAAAGAAAACTCAGGGCCACAGGAGATCCAGTCTGTGGGTTTGATGGTGGCTAATGGTCCCGTTGGGCACTTCCTTCAGACCTCAGACCAAGAAAGAAAAAAAACCACTCACCCTTAAAAAATAAACCAATCCTGTATACATGGTCCTAGCAGGGGTGGGTGTGGGTGGGGCAGAAGTAGCCTGCAGGAAGAAACTGCCCTAAAAACGCTCAAACGCTTGAGTGACCCCACACACAACCAGGGCTCCACGCACAATGAAACAGTATCAGGCTGGAAAACAATGGCCGTGCGAGGGACCAGCTCTGTGCTACCCCAACTGGGGAGGCTTGGCATGGATGAGCAGATTTCAGGGACTCAGCACAAGTAGGCCCAGGAGAGCCCCCCCAAACACCCCAACTCAGGGTGCCTGAGGATACCATACTCAACCACTTTGAGCTGACATGAAGGAGGCTGGGAAACTCAGGGGGCTTGGCCACAGCTTTTACCTGGCTAAGCAGTCGTCCATCTCAAACTCCTGCTTGGTCCTGTTCCTGGGCCCCAGGCCCCCTAAGAACCCGGACCCACCTCTCTGCCCCAAAGCAATTATTTTGTTGGGTTAAAAATATTGTTTTGCATGTGTGTATACAGTGTATATATATAGTGCCCATGCACAGTACACGTGTGTGTCGGCAGAGGATGCTGGGTATCTTCCTCTACTTCTCTCTACCTTATTTCCTTGGGACAAGCTTCCTCACCAAACCCAAAGCCAGGCTGAACTTTAGCAAGCTCCTCCTGTCTCTGGCTCTACAGTATGGGGTCACTGGTGTCTGTGTGGCCATGCCTGGCTTATTATGAAGGTTCTTGAGATTTGAACTCGCATGTTCATGCTGGCGCAGTAAGCAAGACCCACAGAGCCTCTCTCTAGCCCTCTGTAGCTCAAGCTGGCATGGAACTCACAACCCCCCTGCCTCAGACCCGAGTGCTGGGATGATGGGAAGGCAATGCTACATACCTAGTGTGTCCCTTAGGCACATACACACATGTACACACATACCACACACACCACATACACCACACACATACCACACACACCACATACACCACACACATGTGCATGTGCACACACACTACACACATGACACCCACACACACATTCACACACACACTACACACGACACACACACACCACACACATGACACACACACACTCACACACACACTACACACGACACACACACACACCACACATGACACACATACATATACACCACACACACACCACACACATGACACACCCCCATACACACCACACACATACACACCACACACACACCACACACACACACACACCACACACACACCACACACATACACACCACACACACACACACACACACAGAGTCGTCCGATCACGTGATCTGGGTCTTGGCATCGGTTCTGAGACTGAGAGCAGGCTAACAAGACGCCTTTGTGGGAGTGGGAAGGAACGTTCTCAGAGCAACAGCAGCATGAGCTCTGCTCGGCCGGAGGTGGGGCACAGAGGAGGCAGTGGGCTGTCTGTCAGGGTCCTCAGGAGGGCCACCGAGGTCCTAGTGAGACTAGGAGGCTGATCTGCAAGCTGAGTATTAGCTGCTGACCGGCTAGACCCAGCAAGAGGACACGGCTCTGAGCCCGGGGAGCTCTGGGATAAAAAGGACCAGCACAGAGGAATGGGTAAATTCACACCGTCACCCACGAGAACAAAGAACAAAGCCTATGTTCAGTATAGTAAGTCATTATGACCAGGACACACTCACCACACCGTAACAATTCACAGTGAAAGTCAGAAGCAGTCTGGGTGTCTAGAAATGGATGGTGGAAATCCGGCATGGTTGGTCCACACAGTGGAATACCACACAGCTGTGAACAAAAGCCAGGCTCCGGGGAAGCCAAGGACACGGAGCCCAGTCAGAGACCAGCGCAGAAGGTACGCCAGCCTGCAACTCAATGATGGGAGTGTCCAAATCAGGAGAAACCGGAGCCTGGAGGTGCTGGGCTGGGTGGGCAGGGCGGTGGGGAGAACAGGCATTAGCCTGTCATGTACAGATCATGGCTGCATCCGGAGATGAGCTCAGGAAAACCCTGAATTATTACGCTTAAAATGTTGAATTTTAAAATATGCAAATCAAACCCGAATTTAAAACAGGAAAAGCGATCAGATTATCCACTTTCCAGAGTCCTCAGGAAGAAGTTGGCAGCTGTTTTAGAAGGCTCTCTGGTGTCCCATCCCCAACCCTGTCCCCCAACCCACACCAGCAGAGGGTGCTATGACAAGACTGGTCTCCCAGGAGCCAGGAGAGCATTGCCAGACCACAGGGAGGCGGAGGCCCGAGGGAGCAGGCTGAGGCGTCTCCTACTCAGTTACAAATGGCGGCTTTTGCCTCTCTGTGTGGAAGTGGGACAGGAGGCAACAGAAACAAGTCCTCCATCCTGGCCTTGATGCCACGAGAACCTGGAATTGCCAGGGTCAGCCATTAAAGGACTCAGGCGTGGGACACCCTTCCACAGAAGAAAAGCAAGTAAGCAGTGACCTGCCAGGCAGGTGTCACACAGTCACACCGGCCAGAGAGGAAACAAAAGGGGCTGAACTTTAGCCTGAGTCAACCGCAATGGATGCTGCCATGGCTGTGGTGGCTGCTCCTTCTAGAAAGTTCCATGGTCCCCACCAATCCCCACAGAGACAGAGACTGCTACATCGTCCAGGCTGGCCTGGAACCTACAGAGATCCACGTGCTTCTGGGATTATGTTATATTCTTGAGGTTCTGGGGACAGCACCGGGGCCCTGGTGCATGCTGGGACATGTCCCCAACCCAGGGAGCATCATTTCAGTCACTATTTCTAGACACAAGGAAAAAAACCTGCGACAACACCTTGGTGGGGCAGCTGTTCTGTTACTACTTGTGTGCCAGAAAAAAAAAAAAAAAAAAAAAACAATTCTGTGCTGTGAGGACAAAGATGAGCCGCCCTACTGGGTGTCCCTCGCCTGGGCGCACCACACTCAGTAGGGGATCCCAAGATCCTTCATGAAACGAACTGTGGGTGTGGGCAGACTTCGATACCTGCCTGTGTGATGCAGGCTCAGTCACTCGGCAATTTCAAAGTCACACAGAACTGAGTGTGATGGCCACCCCATTAAGCCCAACAGGGAAGCAGAGGCAGGGGGAGTTCCAGGCTAGCCTGGGCTACATAGTGAGACCCCCTGTCTCCAAAAGAAGAAGAAGCAGAAGGAGAAGGGGAAGAAATGAAGTAAAGGAAAGAAGGAAGAAAAGCAAAGCAAAAGAAATCGGAGTGTGGGCAACCTACACAGGGCCACTCAAGACAGAAACAGGAGGATCGGGAGAGCATTGGAAGTAGCCTGGGCTACAGGAGACCTTGTCTCAACAACAAAACAGAACAAGCCACCTGGAAGAACTAGGTATTTTAACAAATGCCTTGTAATCCCAGCACTGAAGAGCCTGAGGCAGGAGGATGGACATGGCTTCCAGCCCTAATGCCTCACGGGGGATTCTAGGCAGGTGCTCCCCACTGGGCTCTACCCAAGTCCACACACTTCCAACCTGGCTGCATAGATCATGGCAGTTTTCCTTACCTCTGGACTACTCTGGGCCTGCTCATCCTCCGTGGGACGCCCTGGGCCCCGCATAGCGCCGTGCAGTCCTAGGCTACACACTGCATGCCAGGACCTTCCTGATTTGAGGCAGCTGCACTTGTCCCCAGAAGTCACCCAGAGTCACCCGAGCTCGGAGACAGTCTTACACCAACCTGCAAGCTGACTGTGGTAATTTTGACACAGGGTCTCACTCTGCAGTTGTGGCTATCCTGGAACTCACCATGTAGCCTAAGCTAGCCTCACACTTTCCATTTTTCTGTCTCAGTTTCCTAAGAACTGGGAGACCATGCCTGCCGACACCAGGGTGGAGATTCCCATTTGCACCCCAAGATGGTATGGTGGGGTGAAGGGGGATTCCTTCTCGTCTTTCTATGACAGCTTGCACCAGAATGGGCTTAACCTGTGCCCTCCCTGGCAGATACTGCGGGGCGCCTCTGCTGCCACTGCCCTCACGGAGAGCGAGGGGCTGAGGAACAGCCCCTGACAGACTGAGCGGGACCCCAGAGGCACGGAGAGCACTAGACCTGTCTGCAGCCACAAACAGGTGAACTGGGTGCATGGTTCCCTGACACCCGGCAACAGTTTCAGAGTTATGGCAGGAGATCCCCCAGCCTCGGGCAACCTCTCTCCCACCTCACCCCTACCCCCACCCCACCCCTCAGTGGAGAGCCTCCCACACACCCCTAACACTATTACCCCTAACAGGAAGTTTCTGAAACTGTCAGTCAGCCACTGGAGCCTTGTGCACCCCAAGATCTAAGCCTAGGTACTCTGAGTCCCCGAGAGGGACACAGGTACCTTCCCAGGGCTCTATGTCCTTGCCTCCAAGGTGTTGGTACCATGTGCAACCAGACAGCAAACAGGTAGAGCCCCACTCCTCCCCGACTGCATCCCACCCCTCCCCGACTGCACCCCACTCCTCCCCGACTGCACCCCACCCCTCCCCGATTGCACCCCACTCTTGTCTGACTTCACCTCACTCCTTCCTAATTGTTCCCCACTCCCCTGACTCGACCCCACCCCTGTCACCTCACCCCATCCCTATCTGACTACACCTAACTCTTGTCTGACCGTACCCTACTTCCCCCTAATTGACTGCACCCTAATCCTCCCTAGCTGACTGCAACCCACTCCTCCCTGATTGCACCCACTCTTGTCTGACTTCACCCCCCTTGTCCGGCCTGGCCCCTGTCCTCTCTGATAGATACACCCCGACTCTCTTCAGCATGCCGAGCTCACCTGCCTCCAGCCAGTGTCTCGGCAGCCGCACAGCCAAACGCACCGCGGGGCCTAGAAAGGGCTCTTCTGTGGGGCGGGGTCTCCCGCGAAGAGGGCGGAGCCTTCGTAGCATTCGGACCAATCAAAAGCCAAGATGGCGGAGGTTGGTCCGGAGGAGGAGTCTTGGGCCGGCAGTCTGGTAGGTTTAGCCTTGCGGGGGAGTGGGGCGGGGCTTCGGGCGTGAGTGGGCGGGGCAGACCAGGAACGGCATCTCCACGGGCCATTCACAAACTGGAGGGCGGGATTATGCGTCTAAAGATTGGCAAGCATAGTGCCGCGGAGGGGCCTCCCTGAGGAGCCGCTGCCTAACGCCAGGCCTTGTTTTGTTTGGGTTTTTTGAGTTTATTTGATTGGTGTATTCATCGTGCAGCATAATGGGTTTCATTGTGACGTTTGCATACACTTATATCCCGGATTGTGATAATATTCACCCTCTGCTGTGCATCACTTTAACAATAAGAAAACCCCGACCAAACTCCCCAGCTTAGCCTAGATCTAACAAAACAGCAGGGGCCAGTCAGAAAACCCCACGGGAGCCAGGGACAGGAAGGAGTGGGCTGTTCCCTGTGGTTTTCAAGGAACGAGTTTGAATCCCGAGCAGGGACCCAGGAGAGAGGGGAACTATTAATTTTTCATTTGCTTGTTCGTTTATCATTGTATTCCAATGTTTGTCTCCAGTTTTTTCTATTCTCTCTGTTATTTGGGGTTTTTTGGTTTTTGAAGTACTGGGCTTGGGTTATACCTTCATCCATCTTTTTTATTTTTTATTTTAAGACAGGGTCATAGTAAAATGCCCAGGCTGGCCTTGAACTCCCTGCGTAGTCCAGGATGACTTCGAACCTCCAGTGGGAGCAGTAGTACTAGAGAATCACGCTGGGAGCCCCAACCTATGGGTCTGCATTTTCCACAAGTTCTCTTGGTGACCTCAGAGACATCAGGAACAGGTCTGCAGTGGGTAGTAGTGGTCCCAGGGAAAGACCAGTGCAGCCCCTCGGTGGGTGACCTCAGGATTCTGGTGTGGACTGACATTCTGTGACAGGCAGTCTGATGGCTTGGCTCCCTGGGCTCTTGTCATTCCTGAAGGAACCTGGCTGTCATACACGCACACATGCACACACATATGAATACCCCCACCACACACAGACACACACACTGCAGTTCATGCTGCACAGTAAAAGCCCAGGACATCCTATAGCTACCTTCCTTCCTGCCCAGGCTGTCCCTGGACCCGACTACTGTAGAAACAGGAGTCGCAGCTTGTGGTCACCGGGTAATGTTCTCCAAATAGTTAGATGCAGAGTTGGGCTATGTTCAAGCACTTGAGAGAATGCGGCAGGAGGATTGTCTCAAGTTTGAGGTCAAGTTGGACTACATGGGGGTGTTTGAAGCCACTGTAGGCTACATGAAACCGTGTTTCCTAAGCTAATGCTGAAGAGTCGGCTCAGTGGTTAAGAGTACTGGCTGCTCTTCCAGAAGACCAGGGTTCAATTCCCAGCAATCACATGCCAGCGTACAATTATGTGTGTGCGCGCACGCGCACGCGCACACACACACAGACACACACACACAAATTTTCCAAATCTAATTCAAAACAAGATCAACAAAAATCACCCTTTTGTGGCATGCCAATGAGTCTAAGTAGATCCAGAAAGCCGCACTGCACCCATCGGCCACTAGAGGGAGCGCTAGAATTGCCCGCCATGGACACACTCCCTTCCCCTCTCCTGCTGCCCCAGAATAGTCTATTTCCATAATTTGCATTATTTTGATTTATTTTTCCAAAACTATTCTTATTTATTTTGTGTGTGTGTGTGTGTGTGTGTGTGTGTGTGTGTGTGTGTGTAGGTGGTCTGCAGATCCCTTGGGACTGGGTGCTGGGAATGAAACCACAGTTCTCTGGAAGAGCAGCCAGTGTTCTCAACTGTGGTGTCCTCTCTCCAGCCCCGTTTTATTTTATTTCTTTGTTTGAGCCAGTGACTCGCCGGGCAGTGGTGGCGCACGCCTTTAATCCCAGCACTCGGGAGCAGAGGCAGGCGGATTTCTGAGTTCGAGGCCACCCTGGTCTACAGAGTGAGTTCCAGGACAGCCAGGGCTACACAGAGAAATCTTGTCTCGAAAAAAAAAAAAAAAAAAGAAAGAAAGAAACAGTGAATCGCTGTGTAGACAAAGCTGGCCTCCAACTCGCAGAGATTTGCCCCCGTCTATTTACCTTCAAGTGCTGGGATTAAAGGTGTGGCTGCCACCAAGCCAGCCTGTTTCTATGACTCTTGTTGTCTTAAAAGCCATTATGTATCTTTAAAAACAAACAAACAGGGCTGGAGAGATGGCTCAGTGGTTAAGGCCACTGACTGCTCTTTCAGAGGTCCTGAGTTCTATTCCCAGCAACCACATGGTGGCTCACAACCATATGTAATGGGATCCGATGCACTCTTCTGGTGTGTCTAAAATAAATTAAAAAAAAAAAAAAAAAGCAAATTGAGCTGGGCCAGCAACACAGCTCACTGTATGGAGGTGCTTGTGGCTAAGGACGTGAGTTTGAGTCCCAGGATCCACATGATGGTAGGAGAACACAGACTCCTGGAAGCCGTCCTCTGACCTACACACACACACAATAAATAAGTAGATAGAAAAATAAAGTTCAGGGCTGGAGAGATGGCTCAGTGGTTAGAGCACTGACTGCTCTTCCAGAGGTCCTGAGTTCAATTCCCAGCAACCACAAGGTGGCTCACAACCATCTGTAATGAGATCCAGTGCCCTCTTCTGGTGTGTCTGAAGACAGCGACAGTGTACTCATATAAAATAAATAAATAAATATTTAAAAAAGAAAAAGTTCAAAAAATTCATGATCATGTACACATGACCTAGTGCTCAGGAACCTGAGGCAGCAGGATTGCTGTGAGCGTCAGGCCAATGTGAGCCAAATATGGGCACACTGTAGCTGTCTTCAGACACGCCAGAAGAGGGCACTGGATCCCATTACAGATGGTTGTGAGCCACCTTGTGGTTGCTGGGAATTGAACTCAGGACCTCCGGAAGAGCAGTCAGTGCTCTAACCACTGAGCCATCTTTCCAGCCTATGATTTGACCTTTTAAAAAAGTAAAAAGTTAGCCAGGCAGTGGTGGCGCACACCTTTAATCCCAGCACTTGGGAGGCAGAGTCAGGCGGATTTCTGAGTTCGAGGCCAGCCTGGCCTACAGAGTGAGTTCCAGGACAGCCAGGGCTACACAGAGAAACCCTGTCTCGAAAAACCAAACAAACAAAAACAAAAAACAAAAAAAGTAAAAAAATGTGTCTATGGGTACCCAGAAGCAAGAAGTGCCTTGGTATGTGTTTGTTTGTTTGTTTGTTTTTCCTTTGTTTTTGTTTTCTCTCTTTTTGGTCTTTATTTATCTGGTTCTGTGAGGTTTATATTTTTATCTTGTTGTTGTTTGTTTATTCATGTTTATGTCTGAGTGTAGGCACTGGTGGATGTGACCATGGCAGAGGCCAGAGGAGGGCGCTGGTGTGCTCCTCTTTGACTGCCTATTTCCTCCAGTCAGGGTCTCTCCCTGTACCTGGCTCTCATGTTTTCTATCTTAGGATAAAAGCAGCGTGATGCTTTGTTCTTGGAGTCTTTGACTGGGTTAACAGAGTCCTGACTTGTTTTGGGTGCTAGGGATTGAACTTGGGTTCTCTGCAAGCACCTTTAACCGTGGAGGCACCTCTCCAGCCCTTGTTGTTCCTGTTGGAGTCCTGGCGATGTGCCTCCCGCACTGGGATTCGAGGTGGGGGTGGCCATACTCCATTGTACACGGTGACTGGAGGTGGGGAGCGAGAAGGCAGGAATGCCTGGACTCCAGGTATACGGCGATGCCTATTACACACAGTGAATGGGTGAATGAATGAATTAGTGAGTGAATGAACGAGCTCACCCAGTCTGTCCTTTAAACGGCAGAGGGGAACCTGGGAAGGGGAAGGACTGGGCAGGAGACACAGGGAGACGCTGAGTGAAAAGCTGAAGCACTGGGACAGGATCCAGGGAGGCCGGCAAGGCCCGGATGAGGACTAGACACCGCTTTCATGCCGCGATAAGCTTGTTTGTGATCTTGGCTGTGACATCCCCTGCATTCCCCACGCCACCCTCCGTTTCCAGCCCTCACCTGCAGCAGGCAGCTCACAGCCCCACAGAAGCCGCGCGGCACAGGGAGGCAGGATCCACGTGTTTATTGCAGGAAGACAAGGTCTACAGGAGAACGGTACACAGACCCCGCATGGGACGGGGCTCCCACATGCGGGGGACAGGGGTGGGTCACAGCAAGCTAGGCCTGGTGGCGTCCCCAGCACCAGAGATGCCTGGGCAGGTTGGCCAGCAGCCAGGGTGGGCTCCGGCCTCCCCTGTCACCTAGCCTGGTTCTCCCCAGGATGGGCAAGGCCAGCCAGGGGAGGCCTGGGGTGGCCCAGAGATTGTGCTATCAGGGTGTGTCCCTGAGAAAGGGCTGTGACCCCCTGTCCAGCCAGGAGCCACTCCCGGGCCTTGGGAGCAGGTGGCAGCTGTGGGCCCTGGACTGGCTAGAGGTCAGGGCTCAGCTATGCTCAGACTCAGGCTTCAGGCTGTGGATCTCCCTGTGTCTGGCACACAGAAGGGAACACAGTGAGGTCCGGCCCACTGGGTCGTCTGACTTCAGCCTTCTTTCTGCCTCTCTGTCTCTGTCTCTCTCTGTCTCTCTGTCTCTCTCTATCTCTCTGTCTCTGTCTCTGTCTCTCTCTCTCTCTCTCTCTCTCTCTCACACACACACACACACACACACACACACATGAGGATCGAAGCCACAGACTGATCTGCAGTCACTGTGAGTATATCTGTCTCTCTGTCTCTCTGTCTCACACACACACACACACACACACACACACACACACACACACGAGGACCCAGGCCACAGACTGGTCTGCAGTTGCTGTTGCTGTGAGGTAATGACCTCACATTGAGACCTCAGTTCTGCATCCTTGTCACTTCTGAGGCAGGAGCCAGATCGCCATAGCCTGGAACAGGACCCAGTGCTCATCAGACAGGCCTGTGTCACCCACCCCTGAAAACACAGAGCCACACAGACACACCACAATGTCTAGGTGCTCCCCACAGCCACATACACTGTGGTCTCACTAAGAACACAAAGTGGTGCAAGAACACCCTATCCCAAGACAGACTCACACCCATCCAGACACACAGTCACATAAACACAGAATTCTAAGTCACCCTCTTGTGGGTGGGGCACAGGCCTAGGAGTCCCTCAAGTCTCCCGGACAGTCTCGCAGATACCGCAGGGGCTCTGTAACTCAGGGCAGACATGGGGGACAGTCTCTGGTGTACATGTGACCAGCAGAGGGGCTGAGGTTCTGTCAGAGCCCTGGGGCATCAGCCACTGGTCCCATCGCCCCACACAGGGGCTTTGCTGATAGACCCTCAGCTGGGCACCCCATCCTCAGCACCCCAAACCCCCAGTTGGGGTGGCTGTCGAGGCACCACTGTGCTAAGGTCTCTGTCTCAGAAGAAGGCTGCTGTCCAGGTGGGCAGTGTCCAGGCAGCCACTCCACACTCCAGGCTCAGGGTCCCCGCGCACCTCCCCTGAAGGACAGTACTGGGCTTGTGCTGTGGGTGTCTGCCATTCCAGAGGTGGTGCTCGGGGCAGGCAGGGCATTGCTGCAGGCCCTGTGTTTATTGCCTGGTGCCTGAGGCCCAGCCTGCTGGCCCATCCACCCTGGTGTGCAGACAAGAGAGGACAGGGGTGTTCTGGACCCAGGGAAGGGCACAGGTCCAAGGTCATGGGGAAAGGACAGGATCAGGTGAAAGAAATAAGATATTAGTGGATGAGGTCAACGGGACCCCCCAGAGGTCACAGTGATAGAATGTGAGGGACAGGGACAGTGGGCGTGGCTGGGAACACACCGGGAAAAGGACAGAGATGGAGAGGCGCCATAACCTCTCTGGTTCTGATGGAACAAGCAGTTCCTTAGCCGGGTCCGTTTTCAGATCCTCAGGGATCAAACCTCCAGTGTGTGGTTGTGCGGTACAGATGGAAGTGTGGGGGGTGGGGAGCAGAGAGACAGAGAGGGAGAGGTCAGCAAAGAATGAAGCTATGGAGGTGAAAGGCCAGGATGGAGCCCAACCCTGCTGTAGGCTGGTGGGGACAGGAAGAGGGAAGAGAGATGGAGGGAGGAGAAGGAGGGGGAGGAACAGGAGCAGAGAAGAGAGAGGAGGGAGGGGAGGAGGAGGAGGAGAGGTGGGAGGGGAGCCGGAGCCCAGGAGGCCCAGGCTGGCTCTGGAGGGTTCACATGAGCACACACTTGCCCTTGATCCGGTCAGCCCTCTTCTGCTTGCTGGAGCGTTTGCCATCCACGCTGAGGCTGACGCTGCGGCGAGTCTCGAGCGTCAGCAGCTCCTGGAACAGCTCCTTCACGTTGTAGTTCATCTTTGCCGAGGTCTCCATGAAGGCGCACTTCCACTCCTGCGCGACGGCCTGCGCCTCGCGGGTGTGCACCTCCCGCTGCGTCTCGTCACACTTGTTCCCTACCAGCATGATGGGGATGTCCTCCACGCTGCCTTTGATCTGCACGATGAGCTTGTAGATGGGGCTCAGCTCGTCCAGCGACTGCTTGCTGGTCACCGAGAACACCAGGATGAAGGCGTGGCCCTTGGAGATGGACAGCCGCTGCATGGCCGGGAACTGGTGGCTGCCGGTGGTGTCCGTGATCTGCAGTGTGCACACGCTCTTGTCACAGCTGATCACCTGCCGGTACGTGTCCTCTATGGTGGGGATGTAGGTGTCACGAAACGTCCCCTTCACGAAGCGGAGCACCAGCGAGCTCTTGCCCACGCCGCCCGCGCCGAAGACGACCACGCGGTAGTCATTGCTCTGCTCCGGCATCTTCTCCGACGCCGGCTAGAAGGACAGGCGGCCGCTAGAACCCCAGACCGACCCTGTTGGAGAAGGGACAGTGAAACACGGAAGGCCGTATGAGCCCAGGGTAGCTCCCTGACCCAGCGGCCGGGTCACGGTGGTGCTGGTCCTTCCTCCATCCCACGGAGTGTCTACCATGCGGCCCTCGCAGCTGCCCTGGCTGCAAGTATGCTCTGCGGGTCGGCTCCCTGCCAACCTCTCAGCTTCTTTCTCTCTGACAAACGTAAGGCCCGGAGTTCCTGGGGCGGGGGTGGGGTGGGGGAGAGCGGAGCTGAAGAACTGATGTGCTGAAGTGCTAATGAGGCCAGATGCCCAAGTCAGCACTCAGCGTCCCACCTCAGACCTGGCCCTCCCTGAGCTTCGCCGTCTTCCTGCCCCATCCTATGTGTGAGAGACCCGTCTCAAAACAAACAAACAAACAAACAAACAGACAGACAGACAGACAGAAGATCAAGGTGGGTACTGGAGAGTGGGCTACAGCACCGGTTGCTCTCACAAAGGACCTGATTCGGTTCTCGGTACCCACACGGCAGCTCACAACCACCTGGGGATCTTACGCCCTCTTATGGCCTCCGCAGGCACTGCACACATGTAGTGCCCAGACGCACATAAACAGAAGGGAAAAATAAATAGAAAAGAATCCTATTGTGAAAAATCAGATGTGGTGTCACACAGCCGTAATCCCAGAATTGGGGGGCCTGAGGCAAGGGGGTAGTGATTTATGAGGTACTCTGCGTTACAGAGTGAGACTCTGTCTGAAAACACAACCTAGGGTGTTTGAGGTGGCCCACACCTTTGATCCACTCCAGAGGAAGTGGCAGGGAGATGTCTGCGCTTTTGAGGCCAGCCTGGGCTGAACATTGAGACCATATCTCCAAACAAAACAAAGCAAAACAAAACAAAAACCAAAAAAAAAAAAAAAGCAAAGAGAAAAACAAGACAGTAAGCAGGCCTGAAAACAACCATCACAACAAACAGCAAAAGCACACTCAGGGCCTCAGCCCTGCTTGTCCCAAAGCCTGGCTTCCGGCCTGGCCCTGGGAACATGCCTTCTAAGTGATGCTGACACTGGGGACATCCAGGAATCGATGTGTAAATCCTGGAGCAGAGTCCCTAGAAGCAGTTCCTGGGACAAGGAGACTCACAGCCCAGACTGAGCAAAGAGAAGCTAAGTGAGGGTTCCCCGTTCCTTATGCCTGTGCCTTGGCTTCCTGCTCAGGCCACCATGTGCTCTTGGCAGGGATTCCTTGGGTTTCTCTCCTGTCTTTGCTCAGAGAGGTTCATGGGTCTCAGAGGGTCACACAGCATGAGGACTCCTAAAGTAGGGGTGGTAGGGAAAGACACTTGTGGAAGGGAGACTGGGTAGACCTGTCCCCACTATTGTTGTTACTCAGACACAGTCCTCCCCCCTCCCCCCAGTTCAGGTTATTTTCCTAAGCATTCGTGTACATATGGAGAAGGTTCCAAGGACTGCCCCGGAGTCAGACCTAGGGACTATGACACTGAAGGCGTGGCTGTGTCCTTGGGGTTCAGTTTTCTCTTCTATGGGATGACAGGCTCCCAGGCCTAGCCTGGGATAGGGGACCAGGGAATATGGTTAGGGGTAAGTGCCTCCCGCCCAACCTCCAAGGAGCCCCCAAAGTTATGGCAAGCTGGGGTTCCGGGGTGAGGATGAGCGTTCCCCATGGGGTCCCAAGGCATATTCAGAATTACTGAATGTGCCGAAATAAAAGGACAGCACAGCAACTAGAGCCAACGCTAGCAACACCTGAGACTCTCAAGCTGGACACTTACTCCAAGGGTTCCACACAGGGTACTTCTTGGTCTGTGGGGGAGCTGCGGAAGCTGGCATGGGGTTGCGCCCCAGCCCAGCAGTCTTAACGTTTCTCTTAGTGGGTAATGGGAGGGGATGCACGGTGACACCACCCCGTTGCCCTGAGGGTATCTAAGGTGGGCAAATGGATATCTAAGTGGGTATCTCAGGTGGTGCGTCTTCCCCTCAGTGCAGTCCCTTCTTGGTGGTGGGCACCAGGGCTGCAGTGCCCAGTAGGAATGACCCCTGACCAAGAGGGTCAGTGCAATCCAGGGCTCCCTCTTTTGGGGATGACGGAGAGGGCCCTGAACGTGCAGTGGGACGAGCTTTGCTCAAGGTCATGAGATCTAAGAGGTGACATGACTCAGAGGGACTTAAAGCTGGGCCCTGCTCAGCTGCTGTGCTCGGGGGACTCAGAGGGGCTCTGCCACCTTGTCTGAGTCACCCCAGCCCCAGGCCAGCCTGGCCAAAGCCCCTCCGTCTACAGAGCAGCACAGGACAGGGCCCTGGGACCCTGAAGCCACCTCAGGTGCAAAAAGCCAGGATGGCCTTGGTGGGGGAGGGTCTGGGGGCGGGGGCACTGACTAATGGGGGTGGCTGATCTCGGGGCTGCAGACTGGGGACATGATGGGGAACAGGCAGTTTTAGGGACTCAAGGGAATGGTGGGGCTCCCTGGGACTCAGGAAGGGTCTCAGAGGAGGGAAGGTGTCCTGAGAGAGGGCTTGGTCACGAGGGTGCAGGGCTCTGTGGGTAGCAGTGAGGGACCCGAGCCTCAGGAGGCAGTTCGCAAAGGGCATGTATGAGGGAACCAGGCCCCGGAAGGTCCCAAGTGATGCTCTGCGTGGCCAGGCAGGGGTGGGGCGACCGGGAGCTGTCCATGGTGACCGCTGGACTCGCGGAGACAAGCAAAGCCTGGCGCGGTGGCCCGGGAGGGTGGGGCCGGAACAAAGGGATCATGGTGGCTTGAGGACCCCTCCCCACCCTCTGTGGCCGCGGCTGCCCCGCCGCCTACCTGGGCCGCTGTGGTCCCCGCCGCTGCGCTGCTGTCCGCGCCGCCGCAGTCCCGATGTCCCCGCCCCAGCTGTGCTCCGCCCCGCCCGCCCCGCCCGCCCCGCCCGCCGGGACCCGGGCCCGGGCAGCTGCAGCCCCAGGTCGCCGCCAAGCCCGCCTTGGGTGGCCATCAACAACCGGGGCCACTCAGAGCTCTGGGCATCGGGACACCCACACCCACGCGCACCACGTGGCGACCAGGACCTCAGGGAACGCAGATGGGTGACAGGGCCCATGATGTGAGGTCCTGGAGACACGGTGATAGTCAAGGGTCGCCCCAACTGCAAAAACGGAGAACTAGGAATAGGGTTGGGGGGAGTAATCCAGGTCAGATAAGCGAGGGCAAAAAGAGGTGATGGAAGACAGTGTGAGCTCAGTATATAGACTCATAGAGTAAGACCTCAGCCACGCGGGGAAGCCGGGGGCACAGGAATGGCTATGAGTTTAAAGCCATTCTGGGATACAGAGTAGAGACCCCTGTGGGAGAAAGAAGGAAGAGTTTGGGGAGAAAGGAAGGGAAAGAGGAATAAAAGACAAAATAACACAGAGAATCCCATTACTGGAGTTGTAGCTTAGAGGGTCAATCTGTCCCTTAGAGGCTATGGGCTCTGTTCTGAGCACGGCAGAGGCCCAGCCTGACGGTGTTGGCTTGTCATTCCAACATTGGAGGCAGAGGCAGGAGGACCAGGAGTTCGAGGTCAGCCTTCACTAAATATTTTCTGGAAAATGTGAGACAAGCAAAAAGAAGAAAAGAGAAAAAGATAAAACCCCATTGTTTGCCGGGCGGTGGTGGCGCACGCCTTTAATCCCAGCACTTGGGAGGCAGAGGCAGGTGGATTTCCGAGTTCGAGGCCAGCCTGGTCTACAGAGTGAGTTCCAGGACAGCCAGGGCTACACAGAGAAACCCTGTCTCGAAAATCCAAAAGGAAAAAGAAAAGAAAAGAAAAGAAAAGATTGTTCTTCTGGTTTGTGGTCTTCGGGAGCCTTGCCCAGCATGCTGGCTCTGGCTCCATCCACACACTGCAAGGAAAACATAAGTTTCCTTTGTATCATTAAAGATTGGGACCAGTGAGAGGGCTCAGGAGGTAAAGGTGCTTTCTGCCAAGCCTGACAGCCTGGATTAGATCCCTGAGACCCACTTGGTAGAAGGAGAGGGCTCCAATAATTTGTCCTCTGACTTCCACACACAGAGAAACTGATTAAGAAAATGTCACTTAAATTTCGTTTTAATTTTTAGATTTATGTATTTGTATTTTCTGTGTAGGGATGCTTCACCTGCATGCCTGATGACCTCAGATGTCAGAAGAGGCCATCGGGTCCCCTGGAGCTGGAGTTGTGAGCCACCAAGCAGGTGCTGGGAATCAAACCTGGGTTCTCTGGAGCAGCTGCTAACTACTGAGCCAGCTTTCTGAACATTAATCTTAAAGTGTTTTTGTTTGTTTGTGGAAGGGTGTCGGTCTGTAGACCAGGCTGGCCAGGAGCTCACAGAGATCCTCTTGCCTCTGCCTCCTAGTGCTGGGATTAAAGCCATGTGCCACTCTACTCCCAGTTAAAGGCCATCCTCTTCCCTCTCCTGGTCCCCAGGATCCCCCACGTCTTCCCTGCTCAGTTCTAACATGGCCCCTTCGGGCTGGGTCACAGCACAGCATCGTGGTTTGGGGTCAAGCATCTCCACGGCTGGCCTAGCTCTCTCTTTGCTATTTGTGCCTCAAGCCGTCACCTGAAGAATTTACCACCTTCTTACCCTGGTCCTGTGGGAGTCACTCAGAAAGTGGCTCAGCCCCGCTACCCTGCTTCAGGATGGAGACAGCCTAGTGGGAAGCCACCGTGTCCTACAGACGTGTCCGGCTTCGGCTCCGTTCCACCCTTTGGAGTAGCTGGGAAAACCCCAGAGTGGTCCCATTTCTTGGGTGCTGAGGATCGTGGTGGGGGGCTTGGGGCTAGCAGGCAGGCTTCCTCTGTCTGTGATGGCTGCCTGGGTCCCCTGAGAGACGCAGGGTGGGAGTGGGGCTCTCAGTCCAGCTCTGACCGGCTCCTCGGCTCTCCTTCAGGCACCAGCCCAGGCTGACTCACTGGAAGGAGCCTGTCCACATGCAGATGCTATTTATAGATGCCAGGCCAGGCTCTGGGCGGCAGGAGCACTGAAGACAACCTTAGTTCCTGTCTCCCTCTTGCAGTAGAGCCTCTGTGTGGGACACTGTACTCTGCCCTACCTTGCTGAGCTGTAGAGGGTACATTCGTGGGAACTAGGACTCAGGAACCTGAGACCTGTCAGGCTGCACTGCATTCTGAAGCTCTAGCCTGCCTGTCACATCCTACACACCCATCACCCCTTTTAAAAGCCATGCCTTGTCCCCAGCAGCAGAGGTGGGTGAGGGAAGGCTGAGGAGGGAGGGTCAGCTGTAAAGTACGTGCTTGCAAACACAGGGCATGGAGCATGGGTTCTCAGAACCTACACCCAAAGCCAGTGGGGTGGCTCAAGCCTGCTGTGACAGCATGGGAAGGGGCCGAGACAGGATTCCTGTGGTGTGCTGACCCAGTGGTCTAGAGAAATCTGCCACTCTATGACACTTGCACTGTGTTTTAAAAACCAAGGTGAAACTTGGAGGCGGCTCAGCAGTTACATCTCTGCTTTTGCCGAAGACACAGGTTTAACTCCCAACATCCACAGGGTGGCTCACAGACCTCTGTAACACCAGTTCCAGTGGATCTGATGCCCAATTCTGGCTTCCATAGGCACTGTGTGTATGCTCACATGCCATGTACACACACACACACACACACACCAGCCAAACAAAGAAACCCCCATGATCTTGTACTCTGGAGCCCAGTATTTTGTTGTTAGTTTGAGACACCGTGTCATCATACACCCTCGGCAGCCTGGACTCTATAGAGACCAGATACGGTGCTGTCTTCTGGTCTCCTTGAAAACTAGGGACCTATGTGGTGCAAAATCCATTCACAAAAACAAAATAAATAGATAAATAAATAGATAAATAGTTTAAATCTTCACTTGTTGTTTATTTCTTTTGCAACAGTGATCACTTGTAACCCTGGCTGGCCTGGAACTCACAGAAATCCACCTGCCTCTGGAGTACATGGATTAAAGGTGTGGATAACCATACCTAGCTTAAAAACTGCTCTTAACACATACACTGGGGGTGTGGGACGAGCACACACAGTGTGTGCATGTGTGCCACTGAGCACCTGTAGAGATCAGGACAGTGCAGTCGGTTCTGTCAGCACATGGGTCCCTGGAAACACACTCAGGTCCGCCTCGCTTGGCGGCAAGCACCTCTGCCTGCGGAGCCCCTCACCTGCAGTGTCCCTGGATTTTCCTTTCTTCCGTGGGAGCACTCACTAATAATGCTGCAGTGTTGTGATGTAATTTCTCTCATCATTGGTGGGGCCCCTCCCCAGGAGGATTGTGCAGAACATCTGGGACATATGTAACTGTCCTAAGCCATGGAGTTCCTGGCTTGGATCAGGTGGACTCCAGAGACAATGGGGGGGGGGGTGCGCATGCAGCCCGGAAGGCCCCACAGGAAACACCCTAGCGCCATGGGGATACCAAGCTGAAAAGCCTCCTTGGGCAGGTGGGATGCAGGGCAAAGACTGGCCAGGCCCCTGCAATGCAACGAAGGCAGGATGCCAGGAGCTGGCTGTGCCCGATCCCGCCTGCACTAATAACTTCTGTTACAGGAATACAAACAAGCCATAGGAGACACTGACACGCTGTTATTACAAACACAGAGCAGCGGAGAAGCTGGGCCACCCGCACCGCCCTTTCTATCCTCCTGTCTAGCTGTGTCCCTGCTGTGTCCCCCACAGGAGGTAGTGTGGGGGCGGCCTGGGCCCCCTCCTCCATGTCCATTCGTGACACCTGCACCGGTCCTAGCATGGCCCAGGGTCTCCTGGGGCTGGGGGCAGGGGCTGTCAACTAAACTGGAACTCTCAGTAAGAGACACAGAGGCCCCCAGCTGCCAGTGAGTTGGTGCTTAGGATGACTCTTAGAGACGCAGAGGTCTAACGGGGAGGAATCAGGTCTGCAAGCTGCTGTCCCCAGGGGCAGAGCAGCCGGTGCTGGGAAGGAGAGGGTACCATTTCATGTACCCATGGGGGAGGTGCAGACTCCCTGTTGAGATGACCAGACAAGGGACCTGGCTCTTCCTACCCTGGCCTAGTCTTTGTCATCTGAGCCCACACTTGCAGGGGCACGGTGGCCCCATGGGGTCCACCTGGGGCCTGGAGAAGCTGGAGAACCATCTGGATGCCCCCATAGTTAAGTAGAGGGTGGCACCGTGGGCACATCCCCAGGCCTGCATGGATGCGGTTCGAGATCAGGGTCTCAGGAGCAGCTCCTCAGGACAGACGGTCAGCCACGGCTAGGAGAGGCTTCAGCCATGGCGGGGTGGGCCCTCACTGGGAGCCCTAGGTTCCTACATGTGCTCCAGTGTCTGCAAGCGGCATGTGAGCCTGGATTTATTACAGCACTAAGGTAGCCCAGGCATTGGGGCTCTGAGAACAGTGGCCAAGCCCCAGCTGTCCCCAAGGCCCTGCATCTTTGTGCCTTGCATCATCTGAGTGTAGCTGGTAGAGGGCACACTGGACGAGTCATGTTGGTCACCTGGCCACGGTGACAGGGCACTAGTGAGGGGTGACACCCAGCTGCCATGTGGGTAGTGGAGGTGAAGCCTGGTAAACAGACCCCAAGTTAGGGAAAGTGGTGAGCTGTGGCAGGCTTATGTCCCCAGAGGAGAGTCCTCACTCAGGCTGTCCCAAGATGCTGGCATTACCATGGTGACATGCACCAAGGTTGCCAGGTACCGGGTTTCCCCTGCTCCTGCCTGCATCCTGGGAGCTTTCCGTCAGGATGTGCCCTAGAGTCTCACTGCCATGCCCTCTGCAGAGGAGGCCCCTCCACTCTGGTTACTGTGACAGAGCAAGAGAACATGGCAGGACCCCTGGAGTTGCTGGTGTCCCCCATCTGCCAGTCCCCACCCCAGCTCCATTCTTGATGGCTCAGGAGTGACAACAAAAATGGGAGGGGTGACGGGATATGAGGTGACATGGCCACACAGGCATTGGTAAAGAGCTTTAAGACATTTTTAAAGCAGTGTCTGCAGGGCCAGGTTCTGGTAGAGGGCAGAGAACGGTGACCAGCCCAGGAGGCTCATGTGTGTGAACCGTGGCCCTTGAGTGTGGCTGCCGAGGGTTGTGCTCTGTGTCTCTCCGGGATTTGAGGCTCACCACTTGAGGAAGACCATGCCGGCCAGCACGGCGTAGCCCAGCACCAGGAACAGCAGCTTCAGCAGCTGCTCACTCCTGTCCTCCAGCTCCTTGGCCAGGATCTCCAGGAAGGTGACAAACAGGAAGGTGCCACCGGCCAGGCCCTGCAGCAGCGCCGATGCCACGCTGCTGGCCACACTGCGGGCACTCTCAATGCCCAGGCCCAGCCCAATGCCCACCGGGATCATGGCACTCACGGTTACAGCCAACTTGGCGGCATCCCTCAGAGGTACCGCGCTGCGGGCCATGCTGATGCCCAGGGCCACGGCCACCAGCGTCTCGTGGACCGCCACGCCAACAAACAGGCTGACCACACGCTCACCCTCCTCCTGCAGCCCCAGCGCCAGGCCCTCAAACACTGAGTGTGCGGACAGCGCGAAGACCAGGCTGAGCAGCCGCAGAGGCCCAGGGCGGCCCAGCTCCCGCAGCCGCAGCCCTGCGCCATGGGTGTGCGCCGTGGGCTCAGGGTACAGACCGTGACTACGGCCGCCCACACCCACGAACGGGCTCTCGTACTCTGAGTCGCTGCCCGCGTCTGAGCCAGCGTTGAAGGTCTCCAGGTCTATAAAGGGAGGCCGCTCCCGGCGGAAGGTCAGCACCAGCTGCTCCACGAACACCGTGAGGAAGAAACCCACCATCATGAGTGTCTCTGCCAGCGGGTAGTCAGTGCTGATGTGTCCCAGGCTCAGCACCTGCCGCAGCTGTGGGCACAAGGTCAGGTCAGCTGCAGGCCTCCCTCCCGGGCAGGGGGACTGCAAGCTTGAGGACTACCTGGGCCCGGAGGACACCCCACCTCAACCAATCAGACAGCCCAGAGAACGGGGCACAGTGCTGCATGATTCTAATCCCAGCACTCGGAAGCAGGCCAGGGCCACACAGAGACCTGCCTCATAGGACAACAGA